AGCGTTTGCTTCCACAATTTCACAAGGAGTTTTCAGCTTTAGCTGCATGTCCATCCCACGACATACTCCTTTCTCTGTAATGTTGCTTTTCCTTTCCAAATTTTCCCACATAAATCCGATTCAGCTCAAAAACAGCGAAAGCTGGGAAACTGAATTTTGAAAACACTGATGTCAATCATTTACGGGACCAAGAATCTGAGATCAGTTTAAACCTCCTCTTGTTCTGTCTTCTGAGTTATCCAAAATGTGGCTGAGATATTTTTGTCCATGGTTTTTTCCGGTATTTTATTCTAAGAACACAAATTACCAACGCCATCCAGACAATCAGTATAGAGGTCATACTTCAGTAAAGTTAATGAGCTGATCCCACGCATAGGGTCTATCTCATCCAGCCCCACTCTTTCAACCCCAAGATTATAGTTCCGGGTAGTTTTGAAAATATCAATTACAGAATGAAATTATTTGCTGGTGTGGCCCTCCCTTCTTGTGCTCCCGCATCTCCTTTCCTATATTCATATTGGACCACCCCGCTGTTACCAAAAAATGTTGCATCCCTGGAAAATTTCGCCTAAAAAATTCATGATTTCGGAGCCATTGTGGACGGTGCAACGAACCGATGCAGATGGTGGCGATACTGCGCGTCGAGCGATGTGTTTTGAACGAGTATTCTTGCGCACGTTCGGTACTGTTTGTGAACGTTGATTTGAACAGCACTTGCTCGCTCTTCGACTGGCGCACATATCGTGTATCCACTCCAGCTACCGTATATCGCGGTTCCAGATATTCACAGAATACATAGGACCAGTTGATGTTGTACTGAAAATATTTCTACGATACTTGAACGGCTCAAAAGTGTACCGTATTTTTTTGATTCCGCCTTTATAGTAAAGTTATGTTATATTTAACTATCATTATCATTATATTTAATAAGTGCCGTGGCGCTGGTTCTCTGCTGTCAAATGGCAGGCTTGACAGTAGAGAACCAGCGCCACGGCACTTATAAAATCCTGTACAATTGACATAAATTTCTCAAAAATGCTGTCTCCTCAAGCTGACAAAGCAACTGTTTCGCGCAAATAAAAGCAAACAGCATTTGGTATTTTAAGTGAACTAATCCCAACAACGCATCCAGAAAATGGTTGCTACCTGCACGTTTGGACAACATTTGCTTTATAGTGACCCTAACTGTTAACTTATCAGGCTAGTGTGTGCCCCGTTCGTAGGTGGTATATGTCTGTGTAAGGCGTCGCGTCCTATATACATGTTTATTAATACACAGTAAGTTAAAAAGATAATGCATACAGATGTGGTGAGGCTCTCAGAGCCGAAGCTCCCCAGAATAGGAGTATTAGTTAAATAGAAGTAGGTCGCAGTGGTGGATAGGTAATGGCGATTTCGGCGATGGGGAGAAGTGCTTTTATGCCCCAGGAGACAAAGATCGAAAGTTCAGTGAGGATAGGGTGGTCAAAGTTTGAAATAGGAACAGGGGTCTTGAGTCGTAGTAACGCAATTGATCTTTAACCTACTTTTAGCAAAAAACCATTAACCATTATTTGATATATTATACGACAGCTTCAAATGTAGGAACCTGAGGATGCTTGTTGAGTAAAGCTCTTTTGGGTGAAAGTTGACTAAAAGGCCTCAACTCGCTGCTTCAATTTGCAGGCCGTCCGATCGCACATCTCTGATGCCTTGTTATTATTTGCAAAACTGACAAGAACTTTTATCAGTCTGCAGCGTAAATAAACATCGCTACCAGAAACTGTATACAGAGGCGATCATACTAAAACTCATATTGATTTATTCCAGGAACAGGCTAACAACTCTGAGGAAATTCGAGATCCTAAATTCATTCACTCTGACATTTTCTTCTTTTGAACTACGAGTTTTCAACTGTCACTGCCACACCTTGTATCTTGAAGGAGAGAGTGAAAGAACGGGAAGCGAAGGGGGCGAGAAGACGAGGGAAGGGAAGAAAGGCTGGACAATTTACAAAATTTGTACCATCATCAACTTAGGGCAGCACTTGCGAGCAGCACCGTAATCGCCCCTCCCCCATCTTGAGTATGCCCATCAGAAGAGTTTTTTCCA